AAAGATCCCAATACATTAAAATGTTCAGAGTAAAACAAACGGCTAGAAAGAAAATTGTTCAAATCCAGGGTATTGGTGCCATGACTCCACCTCATCTTCCCCAAAATCCAACCAGAGCCCAGAGAGAAAAGCAGTAATAGAAAGAAGTGCAGATATCACAACAGCTCCCAATTCCTATATCATCCAACATCAATGGCAAGGTTTGTGCACAATTACAGTGCAGCCCAACCTCATTGCAGTAAAAGAATTTTATAGTAACTTATGGAGGGCTGCAGGGGACCAGATTGTGGTACAACGAAGAAATGTCAATATCAGCCCAACAGTCATTAGAGAAGTTAGGGAAGTTCTCCAACTGCCTCTAATTAACCTTGATTGTGAAGAAGTGGTACACAACATGATGGATTTCACTCCAGAAGAAGAATTGCCATATGCACTCGGCGAAAATTCCCTAGAGGACATATGGACGATTAATCTTCATGGTTTCCTTAGGCATTCCCCTGCTTCAGAACTCAAACAAGAGTACAAGCCATGGTTCAACTTTATCTGCACCAATCTGATACCAACTCGAAACAGAGGGCTGGTAACTTTTGAAGCAGCAATCTTGCTTTATGCTACATCAATTAGGCTGCAGATACATAATTTCTTGAGAATAAGGGAGAAAAATAGTTTTTTTTTTCCAGTCCTTGCCACCAGATTGATGATCACAGCAAATGTGCAATATTTGCATAGTGATGAAAGAGGAGACTTCCAGCACCATAGAGGTTAGAAGGCCCACCCCATCCCTTTGCAGGGATGAACCCCTGATCACCCAGGAAAGTATTTCTTTTCTTTTTCTGTTTTCTTTTACATTATGCTATATAGTTGAGTCTGTTTGTTTTTCTGTCTGAATTTTAGAGTCAATTGCATGTTTTCTTGTATATAATTGTGTGTTTGTTCTCTCCCATGTTCCTTTGTTTGTAAGCATTTGGGAGAATGCTTATTTTATGTTTTTTTTGGAGGGGGGGAGGATTTGCATCTTTGTTCTGTGTCAGCATTTGTATATATGTGTCTATTTGTGGATAAGTATGATGGGATCATTTTTTGAAAAACAAAAGAAAAGAAAATGCTATGTTTTGATGTGTCTGAAAACAAGTTCTGTACATACTGTGTGTCAAGAGTCTATGATGATTCAAAAAGTGCAGGAAATTTTGAATTTAAATAAGTATGATGGGATCATTTTTTGAAAAACAAAAGAAAAGAAAATGCTATGTTTTGATGTGTCTGAAAACAAGTTCTGTACATACTGTGTGTCAAGAGTCTATGATGATTCAAAAAGTGCGGGAAATTTTGAATTTTTGAACACCACTGATTCACTTTAAGCAGCACATAATTCATCACTTCCTTTAACACAATATGTCACTTGTCAGAGTGAGAGTTCTGAACTTAATGTTAGAAACTTGCATGCTTTAATTGCATCGTTGTGATCTTATGCATGTTCTTGGTTACTTAAAGTGCTGTGGGGAAATGAGAAGTTGACATTGATTAAGGTAGCCCTTCGCGTCGTGGCAGACTTTAAAAGAGTCCATGGTGGTATGCAAAAGCCTATAAAACCTTGGGAAAATAAGGGGGTGTTGGCGGTTGAACTTGAGGATGGGTGCGTAAATTGTAACGAGGGAAGAAAGGAAGCATGTCCAATAAGGCAGTGACACCCCTGAGGGTGAGCTTTAGCAAATAAAGAGCGGAGAGTCCTCAGGCCCGTCAGTGAAAAAAGGAACTAGAGTAGAATTACCATAAGTTGCTTAAAAATGCTCCTGGTAAGGGTCTGAGTGGGACCCAAAGAAAAGCCAATTGGACCACAATGCAGAATAGTAAACAGGGAGAATTGTTGAATGCTGCAATTTTAGCTGTGTGAGGAAATCCTTAATCCCTAAAATAAAACCTCAGCATAAAAACCCCTTGTTTAAAAACTAAAATGCATAAACAAGCACTGGTCACAAGAATGTCCACCTGTTCTAAAACTGATTAATCCTTAAAATGGACAGTAGGGAAACTTGAACTTTGGTTGTGATGTATGCAAACACACACTGATGAATTGTGTTACCTGTTTTCTATTATGAACAAATGGTGTATAATCTGTCCATTGAAGGACCTGAATTTGAGACATACATCGATACATTTCCGTGTTTACTCTTGTTCATTTAAACACGTTCTTTTTTTATCACTGTTATTTAACTTATCCATGAAAATGTTCATTCTTCATCCATGTCTCTGTGTCCTCGTGTTGAGTCTTTTTATGTGTCTAAGTCAGTAGAAATGAAATCTGAATCTGTTTGCTTGAGGACAAGCAACCCCTCAAGTTTGGGGGAGTTGATAACACTTAAATTTAGCCACTTTTAGCAAACAATTCTTATTCATTTTTACTTATAATTTAGTATCAATTATGTAGATTAGTTTACTTTTGGGTTGATTTTACATTTCAAGGTGATCAGAGGGTCAAAGTAGAAATTGTTGCAAATTTGAGGCCAAAATGTGAAAAAGCATAAAAATGAACTGGAATTGGAGTTATCAAGGCTGAGAATGGTCGAGTGAAGAAGAAACAAAGCTGAATCCTGGCTTAGGAAGGAAGAATTGGTTGCATCATCAGCACAGCTGATGATATCTGCAAGTGGCAACCAAAGGAAAAAGAGGAAAATTGCAGAGTTTGAAGCTAGTTGCTGCCAAGTTGTTGCTATATCTACTGTGATTTTGTCAATCAGAGAAAAGAGAAGCTGAAATCTTACTGCTAAAGAAAGGATCACTACACCATCACTGCAAGTTGCTGTTGCTGCAAGTGGAAGAAGAGAAAGAGGAAGAATACGAAGATTAGAGTAACAACTACTCTACTACTTACCAATTGCTACTGTTTCAGATGAATTGATGGAATGGCAACTGTCGGAGGCGAAAAATAATGTTGCAGATGTTTCCAGGGAACAAGAAAGAGAAGAGCAGAAGATTGGAGGCTTAATTGGAGGCTGAACATGAAAGAACATAATGATTACACTGAAGCAGGCTGCTGATGCTGCTGTTTGCTGTCTCTGCTGTTAGTGCTGAAGATTAAAAAAGAAGAAGAAATAGAGATTTGTGTCTGATAATAGTGAAGCGGCGCCGAAGAAGAAGACTAACAGGAAAAGCAATGATGAGAAGAAGGTGGATGATGTTGGCCGAGGAATGAAAGAGAGCCAAAAAGATGGAGGCAACTTGTTAAATTTACAAGTTGCTAAATAAACAACCTCCAGCTGCTGCAAGTGGTCACCTCTACTCTCTGCTGCAAAGAAGAAGACTAGAAGAAGCAATCATCCAAGCCCTCTCCAAATCTCTATAAATAGATAGCCAATAGCAGTTAAAAAAATACCAGATTGGCAAGTTAGAACATATCTAAATTCAGAGTAGTTAGTTAGTTAGTAGAACAAAAACAAGAACTAACAGAAGAAAGGGTGCAGACAATCACTCGGGCAAGTGACGAAGTTCATTTCCCAAGTAAGCGGACAAAATCTGCTTTGTTGCATTCTTCACCCCCATTTTGTCTTCTATCTTTGCTACTGAATGATACTGAATCTTTTGTCTTTTATTGTCCTCATGTTTAGATCAATAAACATGACTGGCTAAAACTCATTCTGGGGTTTATTCCCAACTATATATATGTGAGTGTTTGATTCAAGTTCTTATATGAAGTATTGTATCTAGTTTGAGTGTTTTAATTAACCTTTTAGTTAAACTAGCTACTTAGCTAATTGTGCATGCATAGTTATGGAATCTTGAGAAAGTGAACATAGTTTCAGAACTGCTTAAACTAGTCTATGACGGTGGAATATCAACCATTGTTTCCAGTCATGAGTGAATGTTAGTTGATTGGCATAGGTGATCATTAAGATTAAATAATCAATGGCTCGGAGTAATGAATAATTATCACATAGATGGAGATAATTTGGTTAAACTGAGACTCTTTACCGGGATCGAGAGAGAAGGTAGAGAAAATATGTGCTTGATCAGACAATATTCATATGTGCAAAAAGAAATAATTGAAATCAATACATAAATATATAGATAAGAAGGAGGATGATCCTAATTTCTTCTATACTCTGTCGAGTGACTTTATCACTTTCCCAAGTGACACAATTTGTTCTGTTTACTCCTTTAGTCTACACTTTGATCAGTTTTTATTGATTTACTGTCATCCTTTTAGTGGTGTCAACAATTCTACCCCAGACCAGTTATATATAAAAATAATAATAATAATAATAATATAGTTGGGAAAAAGGTGAAATAATTTTTTTCCCTTATTTGTGCGTTAACGTGATAATGAAAAGTGTAATATGCTATATGTTTTTTTTCGGTGAGTCATTAACACTGTACTTCCGGTGTTTTTTATAAGGCATTTGATTTGTTCTAAATTTTATTTAGTATATTTTTCTAATTGAAAATGAAACCTTAAAGGTGTATGTTCATATTCATTATATTCTATTACTTATTATAAAATAGTTTTAAAATTTTATTTTCAATTGGAAAAACATATTAAATAAATGTTATGATAAATCAAATTCCATATAATAAGGACCACTGGGAATATTTAATTTGATTAATGTATCATATACAAGCCCTCCTTGGTCCATCTTGATTCACTCAAAAAATATAAAATAAATACTGGTAAAATTAAATTAAACTCGTAATTAAATACGAAGATACTCTGTTCCTTAATATAAGACATTTTAATTTTGCCTTAGATTTTACCTATACATTTTTAATTGACAAAAAATTTTTAAAAATATATTTTCACATTCGTTGTATTCTTTTATTATTATAAAATATTTTTAAAATTTTTATCAATAAAAAATACGTACTAGGTTAAGTATAGGACAAATCAATATGTCTTATATTAATTTATTTATTATTGAAAAATAAAAGACAAATTATAACAAACAGACAAAAAAAAGTGACTTAAAAGCGAATTTCTCTCCAATAATATTATTGCCTTATTAAGGCTTTCATAATTTGTGCTAATGTTTATAAGCCAAGCACCGTTTTCACTCCGAAAGTTTAAAACCCTTTCTTCACCTCAAAAAGCTCAAATTTCTGCACAAACAATTTACAGAACAATGGCCTCCTCCGAAGCAAAGGAAAACGGCTCCACAATGGCATCAGAAATCGACGAGAATTCTCAGTCCGATTCCCAACCTCGGCTTGTATCGGACGCCACCGAGAAGGCCGATGAAGAGCAGGCTGCTGATTTTAGTGCAGCTGAGGCGGGGGCGGAGGATGTTGATGAGGCTCAAGCCCAGGAGAATGACAATAGTAATAATAATGTGAATAAATGGCCGGGCTGGCCGGGGGACTGTGTTTATCGGCTGGTGGTGCCGGTGCTAAAAGTCGGGAGTATAATTGGGCGAAAAGGGGAGCTTATTAAAAGAATGTGTGAGGAGACGCGAGCTAGAATTCGTGTGCTGGAAGGTCCAACATCCTCCCCTGACCGTGTTGTAAGTACCTTTCTCTTTAATTGTTTGATGGTTTTTATGTTGTTTGTTGATTGGATTGTTTGAGCTTTTTGTAGAGTTTTATATTGTTGATAGGATTGTACGAGCTTTTTGTGGAGTTTCATTTTTTTTAATGATGAATTTCGTTGATTCTTGGGCTTTTAGGTTGTTATAATCAGTGGCAATCAGTTTTATGTTCCTTGTTTAATTTCCTGTTAAACTTCAAAATGAAATTAGGGCTATCCTTCCTTATGTCTTTTTGGAATTATACAATCGCAAATTTAGTAATCAAGTTTCACTTTGAAATCAGCCCTCACTGATGAAATTTGACAAAAGATTAAGTGTGGGGGGGTTCTTAACAATGAAGGGTTTAGATGTAGGATTATGTTAGGTTGGGACCTTTTGCTAGTGATCTGATTGGCTTCAGGGGTAACCCTGTATTACATAGTCATGGGATAGGAGAACAAAAGAAGAATGCTTTTTACTCATCAGAAAGGTTACACGTTTGTGATGAAGGTCTAGCTATGAGTCCATATTGACTTTACATGGTAGGTAGACGGGCAGAGCTTTCTTTGCCATTGGTTTTCCAAAGCCTTGGTGCCTGTTATTGAAAGTTTTAGTTCTGTTAATTTTGTCTAGTGACAATGCTGCTTTGGTGGGGAGCAAAAGTTTTTTACTGTTGTAATTTTGAATGTAAGTTTGATGTGGGATTATGTGTACTTGCTTTTAGACCTCCTCAGATGTTGAACAATATTATTTCAAATAGCTTTCTGTAGTCATAAATTTTTATTTTTCTGGAGATATTAAGGATAAAAATCTATAGCGAACTTAAAACCCTTTTCAGCTCATGCTATATGTTGTCTTTCTAGTGTGAGTAATTTTACTTTTTTTTTCCTCGTTCTTTTTTTCATCCTCCTTGGCCTAATGCTGTCCACTTAATGGGTAGTATACATAACAGTAGAAAGGCCCAAAATTAGTCACCAGCAAGCTCTTTCTCTTGCTTTTGCATACATTCAAATTCTTTACCACATTCTTTCCTCCGTGTGTGTCTTTTATTTGATTTGTTATTTGATCTCTGTTTACAAATTTGTAGGTTCTAGTGTCTGGTAAAGAAGAGCCAGATGTTCCGATGTCTCCTGCAATGGATGCTGTAATAAGGATATTTAAACGCGTCAGTGGACTACCTGAAGCTGAAACTGATGCTAACGCGTTTGGAGCTGCTGGAGTTGCATTTTGTTCTATTCGACTACTGGTGGCATCGACACAAGCCATCAACTTAATAGGAAAACAAGGGTCTTTGATAAAGTCGATTCAGGAGAGCAGTGGTGCAACAGTTCGTGTTCTTTCAACTGGTATACATTAACTTACCTATAAACTAATTCTTATTCGTGACTGTTATTTTCTGTATGATATTTGCCTTTCTTTTTAGCTTCCTATCACCAGAAAATAACATCAGTTTCTTTGATGGTGAGTATGGAGGAATCTGTTTAGCTGTTGGTTTTTCTTATCATTCCATTGGTTTCTTTACTTGGCTGTCTGCCAACACGACTGCCCAGGCTGACACAATCCTTAATTGTTAACTGCAAAACAAGGTTTTTAATGTAAACAATGGAAGTTGATGTGCTAAAACTTTGTGCTTTCAAGACTATTGTCAAGGATAAATAATCAGTGGTGCATTATAATGATCCATTCTGACAGGGTTTAATTTTCTTATAATTTTGTGGACGGAATTGAGCCTGCTTAGTTTAGAAGTTGTTTCTGTAGTTTACATGCAAATTGAAATTTACTTCTTTAGAATTATTCCAAAAGGAAATATAAGTGTTATAACTCGTTTCATTTTACAAATCTCCTGACCTGCTTAGATTGTACTTTTTGCTGCTTTCTTGAATTATCCTGGAAATGTAGTTTCTGCCGAATCTTCTCAAAGACTGGAAGTGTTCCCTTTGCTGCTTTCCTGTTCACTTGTCTTGAGAATGATGGCAAATCTTTTCTCATGACCCACTGCTCCTTGTGCAGCATGTAAAACACTGTGACCAATTATATCATACTGTTATATACTTGCTACGTATTACATTTTCCTTGGACCATTGGTTCTAGGGTCATACTTTCAGACGGATGAATTTTTTTTAATATATATATATATATACACTTGTTGATGTTCCTTGAATATTAATTTTCCAGTGTTGCTCTTTAGTGCTGGGACTGCTTTCTCCTTGTTTCACGGTTCTAATAGGGGAAGGCTGCAAAATCTTTCCTAAAGAACTCTTATACTAGTTGGGCTACTCATTTGAACACCATGCACAATGTTTTCTTAGTTCCATATGTTTAATCCAACTGTAACAAGGTGGACTTTTTTCCTCTGTTAATTGTAGACGAAGTGCCTGCCTATGTAAGCTCAGAGGAGCGGATTGTGGAATTGCAAGGGGAAGCCCTTAAGGTTCTCAAAGCTCTGGAAGCTGTGGTGAAGCACCTTAGAAAGTTCCTGGTGGATCACAGTGTCCTTCCTTTGTTTGAAAAGAAGGTGAGTTGATTTTCGCATGATTTGATGTTATCAATTTGCTACAGTGATTAAAATAGTTATCATTTGCAGTACACTATGCCACCTACCCAAGAACGTCCAGCGGAACCTTGGTCTGAAAAGCCATATCTGCGCAATACTTCTCAGATAGGAGGAATTACTGATTATTCACCACTTTCAGTGAAGAGGGACAGTTCTTATTTTGAGCGCGAGAGCCATCTTGAATCCCAAAATCCTACTTCACTTTCATTTTATGGACAAGATCCCTCAGTTTCAGGACTTCGTTATCCACGTCCTGGACCAATTGTGACCCAGGTAAGATGATGCATGTACATGGGACTGCACTATCACTTTCAGTATGGTTTCGTTGATGAGATGTATTAGCTCATGGAAGGGGATATGTGTAATCCGGCAATGGCAGGGCAATGTGCCCCCGCCATACATAATTCTCTGGGGTGTCTAAGAACCTTCTTTTAAGAGCCCATTTTTATCAGCGGAGAATTTGAACTCTGGATTTTCATCGCTGTCCTGGTCTGAACTCTGTTGTTAAGCGCCAACTATATTTTCTTTGTTTAAGTTGTATGCAACAAAATTTCTCTTGGCTGAATGATAATTTTATGAACTTGTGGCTTCCGTTGTTTATTTTTATGTTGCAAGTAAGATGGTCCTTTTCCTTTCATTTTTTACTTTACAAATTGTGATTTGGGAATAACAGGGATGTGTGTTATCTTTTTGGTATCAGTATTGAGTATTTTGTGTTTCTTGATGTCTACAGGTAGCGCAAACTATTCAAATACCGATAACTTATGCTGAGGATATCATTGGAGTTGGAGGAGCAAATATTGCTTATATTAGACGTACAAGTGGTGCCATCCTCACTGTTCAAGAATGTGGAAGCGTAAGCAATGAAATAACCGTCGAAATTAAAGGTACCTCTGCCCAGGTGCAGACTGCTCAGCAGTTGATTCAGGTAATTCATTTTTTTCTTATTTTCTTGAAGCGTTATTTAATGTTTTGACTTCCTTTATGATTCAGCTGAAAATTATTATTTGGATTCATGATTGAAGTTGAGAACTTTTCATCGATGGATATAAATTACAGTATGTAATTTTTCACTCTCAGGGGCCATGCATTGATATGAGATAACTAGAAGACTATATTTGTATTACAAATGAAAATAATGTTTTTTTGTTAGTGCTTGACAACCGAACCTATAGACACCCCTCTAAAAAAATCTATAGTCTTGTGGTTGGGGAATCTGGTTCAGTATTGGTGGCCACTGTTTCTTAGGGATTGTTCTCTTGAGATGATTAATAGCTTTTGAGGTCACTGTCTCATCTCCTAAAGATGAAAAGTAGATTGCCGGTGCTGGTTTATTTACAAAATGGATTACCAGAGAAGTCCTACACCATTCAGTGTCATCATTAAGCGTATATACCTGAACAGCGCCATAAATAATCAGAAATTTAGCTTGACATCTCATGTTCATAATTATGTAAAATGTGTGTTAACTGCAGGAATTCATAAGCGACCATAAAGATCCATCAATTGCAAATGATTACGGAAAGTTAGACACAGGCTTGAGGTCATCATATTCGCAACTAGGGAACAGTTCTTATCAGCCATCGTCATACTTGGGACAACCATATGGTGGGAGCTATGGATCATCTGGTTTGGGAGGAGGATACGGTAGCTATAGGTTGTGAATTGATGCTATACATTAACATGTTAAGATTTTCAACCCCAAGAATTAACTAATTGATGCTGCTGAGAGCATTAGTGGAGAGAGGAGAATGGGCCCAAATATGTTGTCTGGGCTGCCACACGGTTCTTTGTATAAAGATTCATATTAGGATCCTTTTATTTGCAGTATTTTAAGAAGTTTAGGTGTAAAATGATTTGTCTGTCTTTCATTTGTAGTCGAGAGGTAGCACGAATTTGCAGTTTCTCTTTTTTATTCCCCCCCTCTGAGATTAATTAGTTCTTACAAGCTTAGCAAAATGTTTGCACGCTTATTTCGGAATGTTTGATAAACATTTCAATTCATCTTTCTTTTTTGGGAACAGCTAAGCTTTAGAGTGACCTAAACTTCTTGGGATATCGTGATTTCCAAAATCGTACTCCCTTTGTCCTGATTGTGCAGCTTGGCTTTTATTTACTCTCTCTGTTTCAAAATTATTGTCTTGAATTTTTAACTTTTAGTAAAAATTAAATTAAAATAAAAATTTAAACTATACAATAAATTTGGCTATGGGACGGGGCGTTTAAAGGTTGTACTGTAAATGAGACTTATTGCGGGATGGATGGAATTTCATTGGAATCTGTTTTATCAGTTGAGGTGATATCTGGTGAGCATCTCTTAATAATTACTCACTACTACACAAGTCTTGTAGAGACCATAGTAGGTAGTAAACGATATTCTAAAAACAAATCACGCGAAAATCACGATAACAACATTCTGAGAAAGAAAAATCAATCCCCACACCTGTATTACTTGGTCAGAATTACAATAATTATTTTTCTGAAGCTTATTTTTTGCCATTCTCTTTATGTGGATCAACTTTTTGGTCAAAAATTGTGGATTATTTGTTTTTTTACAGGGAGAGTACAACAAAGATAGAATAATTACATGGTTTCAACAGCTAAATCAGTTTTCATTCCGCATAAGCTATTGAAATATGAGAAAATTACATACTCGAAATTTCAGCATTATAAAAAATAATAACAATAATAATATTGCCTCCGTCCCAGAAAAATAGTCCAATTTAAAAGACTAAAATATGAATATTAGATGATTTAATCTTATAAACTAAAAAGTTAAAATGAAAAATTGAATAAAGTTTCATGACTGTTTATCAATTTAATAATCACAATTTTAGGCTATAATGATTTCATAACTCTAATTTTAAGATTTATATATTTAAAATAGAACTATTTTGTGGGACGGAAATAATATATTATTCATGGAAAGTATAGCCTTAAATCCTAATCCAATCAGGTATCTACATTTTGTTAATTAGCCAGTCAAGAAGAGGAGGGATAAAGTTGATTCCAGAGAATAGAGATCCAGAAATTGCGTCGTTGGGTCCTTCTCGCGAATTTTGCCGCCCTATCTTGTTGCTGATTGTTGCTTGCTAATTATTTGTGTGATTGCTTCGGTAATCAATCTACTCATAAATTACTATCATCGTAAAATTTCCTTAGGTCACGAGATGAACATAAGGTTTTTGAAATAACGGATTGGGCGTTTGGATGAATTGATTCAAGAAAGTTGTTGATACAATGTAGCTAATAATCCCTCCGTTCGAAAACGATTGGCTAATTTAGAATTTCACTTTTAATATAAATTATACTGAAAATGAAATTCAAACTAGACAATTATTTTAGAACAGAAAAAATACCTGACCTGGTTTGACTTGTATCGTCAAAAAAACAAGCAAGACACTTCGAAAATTGACTTTGAACTTGTAAGAGAACATTAAGGTTATATATGCTACAAATAAGAATCAGATCATTAGATCGAACATGGCGAACATCTTGTTAATTCTAGAGAAGAAACAAAAGTTATATTGACAAAAAAGTGATCTAGTGAGTAAGAAATAGTTCTCACAATCTTTATATTGCGAAAAATACGAAAAAATACAGTAGAGGTGCGAATGCTTAACTAGATACTTAGCAAAAACCATTTCTCTCTCTAAAACACAAGAGAGAGAAAGTCCTCTCTTTCTCCAAGTGAGAAGGGCCATCATTCGAACCCCAATATCCTTTACTTCCATATCCGGTTCCATAAGCCACTATCACTTCTCCATCATTTCTTACTTCCATTTGGATTGTGGAATATTACTTGGCAGTAAGTGGTTCATTTCTGCCATTTGGACAACATGCAGTTTGTCATTTTTTTAAATCTTCATTTTTTAAAATTGCATGCACTTATCAGATCTCCTCCGATTTGCTTTAATATTCCTCACGGACCCTTGACATTAATATCAAGACAGTAAAGCCAGTATAAAGTACCCACTTTTTATTCTTCCTTTTTATTTGTTTGTTGGTTCGAGACATTAATGGCCTTTTCGATCTTCATGAATCAGCTGCTCAAGATCTCTTTTACCGAAAAAGTATAACACCTTTTCACATCCTTGACTGCTCAACTCTCACCTGCTCCTTCAAGTCATTTTCAATCTCATCCTGTAGCTGATTCATCTTTACTGGGTTGTTGCTGCACTAGTCCTTTGTGCTTTATCCCTTTCCTTCCTGCTTTCTTCTTCCTTTTCATCATGACTCATAGGCATGCAATGGATGAAGATTCCGTGACAGACATGTCACTGCAAGGATCCGAGTTCTCTGAAGAAGAATATGAGTTTAATCCAGCCACTGAAGTTCATCCTCAATTTATCTCAACAACATATGAGAGATCTCTGCATGTGCTGCTGAACGACTACAATACAAGTCTCTCCCGGGATAATTTCAAACTTTGTTTGCTAGGCTATACCCTGGATGATAGATCCTTCACGGATGCTGACATGCAAGCTTACATGGCAGAGAACTGGCCCATGTATACCAGGATCTTGCATTATAACCAAAATTTCTTCATTATTAAGTTTGCTTCAAAAGCTGATCTCCTCATGGTCTTAGATAATGGACCTTATGCGGTTGATGGGGGTATTCTTATTCTTCGCAGGATGTATGATGAGGAAGATCTGGCATTGGACAGCCTTCAAATTGATAGGCTAAGAGTTTGGGTTTGCATGCATGGAGCCGCCATCACATCTTATAATTACCGTGGTGCTAGAGATCTGGCAAAGAATTTGGGAGATATTGCAATTATCAAAGAGGACTGTGTCAATCTCATGAAAGCTACCTACATCCGGGCAAAGGTCTGGATTAATCCGGGAGATTCACTCACTCCAGTATTTCATTATACTAAACGAAATGGTAAGTTGGGTAAAATTCGATGTAAGTATGAGTCACATAAATTCTGTACACGTTGTGGTAAGCTTGGTCATCCGGCACAGAGGTGTCTTATGGTGGATGATGTTGTTCTTTTCAATTATTTGGATAATTACTTCATGACTCAGGCCATCAAAAATGATTCCCCAATGCTCATTGATGCTCAGCGTCCATTGTTTTCTAGTGCTATGAGGGCACATGGGCATAAGCAGAAACGGTCCTCCAAAATCATGGGTAATAAGTACCTACAAATGCATCACTTCTATGAACATGTGCCAGAGCATTATATCCAAGATGGTTTTCAAATTACAGAAGTGGATGCCCCCCAGCCAGATGCAATGTATCCTGCTATGTTTCCTGAAGATGATGATGATGATGATGAGGATGGGCAAGATCAAGAAAATGAAGACAATCATACTCAAGGTGATGATGGTCAAATGGGGATGATTATAATGACAATTCTGGTGGTCATAATAATTCCAATGGTGATCCTGAGGCTCAAAATACGAATCATAGAGATGACAGGGCTTTTGATCCGTCACCTTCAACCCATCTCAATTATGGGGAGTTGCTTGCAAATGACTATCCAGACACTAGCAGACGGGCTGCTCCTACAGCACAGGAACCTTTATCAGAGGAGTCTGATTCTGCATCTTCTGGTACGTATCATTCTGTGCCTCTTGATTCTACTAATTCTATCAGTCCTGATAATGGTTTGTATAGTTCTTCGGACTCGGAGATGTCAGAGTCCTTTCAGTCTGAGGATGTTTCAGCACACTCCAACATTGGTGCTGACTTTGATGTTTTTAGTACTCTGAATTTTGAATATGTTGGGGATGTACATGTATCACCAAACTCGGTTTTGATGTGATAGTGTCAGATTCTGAATCTGTAACTAGTGATAGTAGGCCTGCCAATCTGCCAGTTAGTGTTACTGTATTAGAAGAGGATGTTATTTCTCAAGCCTCGGGTTCTAGTTCCTTCTTAAGATCTTTAATGTACTACTCGGCATCGGAGGAGAATAATGGATTGCAGACTAGTGAGCCTGAGTCTGAGACGTCCTCTCACATTCCAACAATGGTCACCTCAGCAACCACCTTGTCTGTCAAGAGGAAGGGAGCATGGACGATGTCAGCTCCAGAATTGGAATTTGAGAGTGACTCAAACTCAATTGAGGAGGCTCATTCCTACCACATGAAAGTTCGGAAGGTGGTCTCAGATTCGGAGGTTGCCGTGACATTGGTCCGGAAAAATAAGAGGAAGAAACAAAAGGCTAGAAGAAAGTCAATGGAACCATCTTGTAGCTCAATTTCACAGTCATCCAGTTCTAATCCTCATCCACCAGTTGATCATCCTTCTCCCGGTGGACTGGCACAGGAAGGACCTTGGAGAATGACAGTTGAGGAAGAGTTCCAGAAACCTGATGAACTGTTGTTGCGTTCCAGAAAGAGGTCATTGGAATCACAGGAGAGTGGTTGGATCAGCAACAAGAAGGTCAAACATGGGATTAGAGACATGACTTGTGTATTGCAGGAGCGAGAGGATGAGATGCAGAAGTGTCTTGCGGCGGTTGAACCAGATCAACTGCCTTCACCGAAATGAATATCCTCGCTTGGAATTGTAGAGGTATACATAGTGCCTCTACTCAGCATTATGTAGGTAGATTATATAAACATTACAAGTCTAAAATTTTGTTCTTAATGGAGACTAAAGCTGGTAGCAGTACCTTAGTAAAATGGCAACAGACCACGCCTTTTGGTCACTCTTTTGTAATAGACTCAGTAGGGTCTTCTGGTGGTCTTGCTTTGTTTTGGATGAATGAAGTTCAGCTAGATATTATAATGTATGATCAGAATGTAATAGTAGCGAGGATATGCGAATCCTCAGGGCTTAGTTGGTTAGCTATTTTCTTGTATGGCCTTCCTAGTAGGCAGGGTCGTGCAGAGTTTTGGTCTAACCTTAGCTCTAATCTAAGCTCTTTTAATTACTCTATTGTGTTATTAGGAGACTTTAATCAAGTAGTTTCACAGGAGGATAAATGTGGTGGTAGATTAGTTAGGGATCAAGACACGGGCCCAGTGCGTCAGTTCCTGATGAGGAACAATTTGGAGGAACTTCAACATATAGGTTGTTGGTACACCTAGTCCAACAACAGACAATAGGGAGAGAGGATTTATGAAAGACTGGATCGTGCCTTTGTCAA